GTAAATAGTTTCGTTTCTAGGTGAAGCACATTACAAAGACTATCGACGCCCGCATGGTAGGTTCGACTCGACGACTTGATTTGTGAGTGGGTCTTTTCTTTTACATAATTAATATATTTATATTTGTGTAGTTTCCATATATACATCTAATAACGAATTTTCTATATGATGCCGTAATTAAATTAACGTTTATACGAAATGTCGTAAGGATGAGAATTAGGAAATCATTATAAATCCTACGGGATGCCTTAGTTAGATATATGGCTATGAATAGTATTATGTTGACTGGAATTATCGAATCACTATGGCATGATTATATTTACGTTATCTGCTCATCATGTGCTACACTGGTGTTTGTACTCACTCACCCCAGGGCCAGTCTTCAAGTGTATGTTCACATCGCACCATACGTTCACTTTGGATCCATTGTAGGTGTCAGTCATGTCCTAGATTGCTATAGGCAATTAGGACTCGTATGTGATGCGCGTAGTGCCAGTCTTCACGTGATTGTAGTACTAAAGCGTAAATCATTATTACACCCAGTCATGTTCATGTCAGAATATCTCTGCATTAACTCGTGTGTCAGAATATATTTATGAGCACTCGATATGATATATTTGTTTATGCAAGATGTTGTGATTATCGGATGTTATGTGCTTACTTATGAGATATTGTGAAATATTACATGCTCGAGATATTACGATTTACAGTAAGTATTTTCTTACTATCGTAGGATGCTATTATGGAAACTATACTTGTTTTACGACGAGGGGTTATTATCTTTTCGAAAATGTTTTACAAAACTTTATTTTTAAGCCCACTCACCCTTGTTTTTCGTCCCCCCCCAGGTTTTAGTGGCAGATTTTGTATCGACGAGGATTTTCTAGCTTAAAGTTGGTATTAAAGACTACTTTCCATGGTATAATTCTTAGCCAACCTCTACTGTACTTTACTTATGCTCTGACATCATGTGTGGAATGGGTTTATTCCCGCTCACATGCGCACTCTTGTATTTAGTCACTTTTAGGTTTAAATTTACTCACATTTTTCGCATCACTACACTTTATAGCTTCGTCACCCTCTTGGTGTCGGCCAACACAGCTCGATTCGGAGTCCAGGTGGACATTTTGGATCGGGATGTGTCATTTTGTGATTAATATAATAAAAATTAATTAATTAAAATCAAATATATATATAATATTAAAATAGTATGCCCCACAAAAATAGTCATCGAGCATGGTTTTTTTCTTTTATTTTTACATTTTTTTCTTTATAAAGCTTACCCAACGAAAATTTCATAAAATACAACTTTGCCTGATGAAACTATTTGTTGGCCATGTCAATTCGTTGAGCAAAGTTGGTCAACGCATTTTCCTCGATGAAAATTTTGTCGGAATATTGGTTGGGTAAACGGCATTCGCCCGATGATTTCTTATTTTCGTCGGGCAAAACTTCGCGCAATGAGCTTTGTGCGATGAACTTTGCCAACAAAGTTTTGTTGGGCATACTCTTAGGCGACGAAACCGTATTTTGCCCAACCAAATTATTTCGTCTGAAAAAGATGTTTTATTTGTAGTGTATCATTCACATATAGAATTTGCTTTATATATTTACTCCCACTAACCGTAAGGTACACATGTATTATGCACTCATCAACAACATTATCCTCCAAAATATACGAGGTGATTAAGTTGTGAAACTTTAAACACTATTAGCGATAGACCTGCTTTAGTCTGTACTAGAATTTGTACCCGCACGATGTTGCGGGATTGAAAACTATATGAATGATTATGCCATTTCAATCTTCATAAACAATGTTTGAGTCAAAAACTGAGTTACCAATGCCAATGCAAATTATACACAACCTCATCATGAATAAAACAAATTTATATATCAAAAGAGAAACCTATTTCATCTATTAAAAAAGTTGTTTGCTGCAAGACTAAAAGTTGTCCTTTGCTATGTTGATCATTACGGAAGCATCCCAAGCAAGGGAAAAAAAAATTGAAATAAATTTATAGACAATAGAATTATATCATGAACAAAATAAGGATAATGCGTGTTTACCTAGTGTTTTTGTGTGTTGAAAGAAGTTTGATTTTGCACGAAATGGAGATGACCTTCTCTGGCAATTCTATAGGATGCGATCAAACTTTTGTGCATTTCCAACTTGCCTTGCAACCAAGTTTCTACAAAAATAGATCGAATTCAAGAAAGTAATTAGACCAAGGCATAAGAGATTATAAGAAAAAGTATAGAAAATATAAACCACATATACCACTTATTATACTACTTCGTATTCCGAATACACCTAAAAATATATCGATTTCTAGTGAATGGTTCAGTTCCAATTAACTGCACTTTAGTTTCTTTCAAACCCTTCAACTTATCGTTGACATTTTTTTAACGGCATCATAATTAAGAGTTAGCTAATAATAAATATACAAATCTGTTAACCTTTAGTTGACCCTCAACATGTGCTTGGAAGAGGGCTCTTTCAACATCCTGAAATCATGTCAAGAGTTAAAAAGGAGCAAGAAAAAAACTAATGTAAGAGCTCTGTAAAATTGAGGCAGAGCATATTACCTTATAGGGCCTCTTTAGAATTAGGTGGACCAAGTTCTATTGCCATGGTTTCATCATCCAATTTGTCAACCATCTGAAAAATGAAAAGAGAGTATCTACATAAGTAAAATCTGAAAAGCAATAGCAAAAAATGAGTCAGTTGTTTAAAACAACGATCTAGCTAAGATAGCATCCATACCTGCATATAATTCATAACTTTTGAGACAGAACAGTGTAATAAGGAATTTCCACCAAGTTCCTTTTCAGAGATCGACCAATCCCTCTCAAAAATCCCACTTCAATGAAAAGGAAGTTAGGCCACACTATAAAATGCACTAATCCAGCTTTTTTCAAAAATGATATTCTAAGAAACTAAATGCTTGAAGAACCTAAGAAGAAGATAATATATAAATTTATACTAAATTTTAATATTTTATCTACATATACTAAAGTAAAGTTATTGTAAATGCCCAAAAATAAATCTAAACGAAAACTTGAAACTAAAAACCAAATGGTTATCAAACGGCTCCTAAAGGATTACACATTCTGGATTTATTAAATTGAGTTTTTCAAGATCTTCAACTAAGTGAAACTAATATACAAATACTAAAGAATAATATCGCATAGCTTTACCTCGATCTTCTCAAAATTGATCATGACACACCTTTTTGTACCACATGGAATATCCCTTACCTACAATGTTGCTAACAGAAGCTTTCAAAACTATAATGAATGGAAAGACAGAATCCTCAATCTTCCAAACATGGATTACCAAAGTTACCTGATCAGTCTGCAAGGTCACTTGAATGGGTTCGAAATGGGTTACCAGAGGTAGCTTGAGATGAAAACCTAAAATTTGAAATAATGAGAAGCAGGCAAAGTTAAGGCCCTATGCAAGCAACTTCTCAATGCACATCACCTGGATCTGTAATTGTCTTCAGAAAAGCGCATCCTCTCCAATATACCCCAACATGACCTTCTGGGACTTGGTGCAGAATTGATATAGTTGATGATGTTGGAAGAACGGTCTGTAAACATCAAGACGTCCCAGTTTTAAGAATTTAGCATACTAATCGAAGTTCCCCAGCTAGCATATCATAGTATTTAGCAAAAATACAATCCAAGTCTATTGCAACTATAATTACAAAAAAACGAAAAATTCCGAGAAAAACCTTCATTTCAATGCATTATTGGGAAATCGTGTAACTCTAATTCTCAATCAACTAGTACAAATATTAGATAGAAGACTAATTAAGTCACCAGATGCATTTTATTGCACATGATCATGCTTTGCAAACATATGATCATTAATGACATGACAAAAGAAGAATGCATTACAAAACTGTAAAAACTGAAAATTAATACTTTAACACAAATATATGCATTCAGTGGAAATCAAGAATAGATACATGATACTTGAAATAGAGGAATTACTTACCATAATAAAATCTAAAAGTGAAACAAAATGATGAACAACTGAGTTAGTATTGCATATCAAGTGATGGATTAAGCTCGAAGATAAATTGTGATAAGCAATACTTGCTATTTGTATTAGTTGTAAATTTGAGGCCTTTCACTTTAGATCGTCGCCGCAATGCCAACAAGGAAGTTGTATGCAAAGATGACAGCTGCTTTAGAACACCAGAAAAGATTCAATCAGAGGCCATAAAGATTCAGCGGAACCGAGAGAAAAAGAAATCCCAAACAAAATTCTAGTGAGAGAAGAGTTACCCTGAAATCAAAGCCAGATGAAGAATTTTCTTCGAATCGGGAGAACCAAGACGGGATTCACGTTGTGCTTCCTGGAAAACTATCGAGAGAGAATTGGGGCTGGGTTGGAAGAATGTATTGGAAGCAAAAGGAAGAGCCCAGTTTCACTTAACTAAGAAACCTAATTCAATCCTTGATCAGAACACATAACATAGGCTAATAAAATATCTCACCAAAGCACAAAACGCAAAACAAAAAAAAAACAAAAAACAAAAAACAAAAAAATTTAAAAACAAAATATATAATGGAGAGAGAACCTAAGCACCAAAGAAATCGAAACCGGAGAGGATAAACACGTCGCCTCGGAGGGCAAGGAAGTCATTTTACTATAAAAAAGGTGGCAAAAAAGTGGCTTAACAAACAAGTTGAGGGGCATTTTGGTTGGCACACTACCCTAGAACAGTAACACCTAAGTTTGAGTTTTAGTATATATAAATATAGATTTTGTCAATTCTTTTATTTATTATCAAATTCATTGGTAGTAAAGAAAGTCATTTAGTCCATTTTATTAATCGAGTTAAAAGTGGGATTCTTCACAAGTGGTGGATTGTCCTGGTTGTTAGGGACTTCCTCTTCAAATCATTGCGTTCGGGATTTAAACATCTTCACTCCCCTTAGTCAGAGAATATCACTTGTAATTAAAAAAATGTGGCACTCTCATTAAAGACATAAATCAACTATGAGTTTGATATCACTCCAAATTGTGAATTGGAGATTATATGTCTTCAATTTGTGTATTAGAAGTAATATAATTTTAGAGTACAATGTGATTATAACTATAAACATAAGAAAGAAGTTGGATGAATACACCAATATTTATGAAACTGCAACAGCCAGACATACTGTTTCATGAGTCTTTGGCCCTTATTATTTATTACGAGATATCCAATTAATTTTATCTCTTACAAACAACTCCACGGCCATCCACCCCGCTAGCACAATTCATAGTACTAGCATAGTGGTCATAGTTGTTTGAAAAATCATTCGTAGCAATCTCACCAGTAAACCTTGCAACCTCACAATCCGAAGCAAAGATGGTAGAGGATGCAAATTCTTTGTCACCGCCCAGAACAGGCATCACAACTCCCATCTTAACCCTACTCACGTAGTTGCTTGCATATGTCTGCCCTAGCACACCACTCACTTCTCCGCTTAGGGCATAAAACTTGAAGCTCAAGTCAAGGTGAGCAAAGCAATCCTCTTCTGTAACCCCATAGTTATGTATCAACGATTCCTTTTCGGTTATCGGCACCACCACAGCCTTGATCTTGAAGTTCCCTTCGGCTTCAATTTCTACCGAGTTCGTGTTTTTCGTCCTCGTGATGCTGAGTGCTCCTGCTGATAAGATTGACTGCCAGTTGGCGCCTTCGCTGTCTGGGAGGCTTATGGTTTGGCCATCGACGGATAGGGACAGGCGGTCGTTGGAGTCGTCCCAAGTTGACGTCGTTTTGGCACCGATGTAGAGCTTGTGGTTACCAAAGAGGATTCCTAGAGACTGCACCCAAGTGAAGTCCCTCTTCATGGTTTGATATCTTTTGCCGATGAAGTGCGCGTTGATGTGGAGATTGGAATCGGAAACTATGCAGAAGTCCTGGTCTCGCTTGCCGTGGAAGTAGAAGGTTATTCCATCACCACCAATGAATCTGGGGTCCTGGCACACAGCACCTGGCTTGTTGCAGTCTGCACGCTCACATATGTTAGTAGTGTATGTATGTAATTATGCACACAAATAGAAACTCATTTTTATATAATACATCCTATGTTATTATTTAACCATTATAAATTTATATTACTTGACCTTTTCACACACATAGTGAGACAATATTAATGGTAAACAATATATGTCACACATTTTGTATATTAGCCTAATTCACAATATATTTCATTTGTTTCATATTTTATAGTTAATTAACACATTAATTGTTACATCAGATGATATTAACTAATGTAGTTGTAAAACAATTAAATTCCCAAGCTGTGCTCGAAAAAGATAAAAGATTAGGGTAGGAAATAGTACAGCTATAGTATCGTAATTATATTTCTAAGTAACACAAGTAGCAAGGTTTGGTGAACTTACTGCAAACGGGACTGCATGTAACGCAGTCAACCTCACATTGGTGAGGGCAAGCACTAGGACAAGTAAGCTCCAGGCCATAGCACTGAGGGTAATTCTTGTTTTTGCATTTCACTCGCTGTTCTCCAGGGCTCTCTGAAGATGGGGGAGGTGGGGGATAAGACGATGGTGTAGATGTAGGAGGCGGCGGAGATGGTGGTGTTAAAGGTGGTGATGGCATAGAAGTAGGAGGCAGTGGAGATGATGGCGTAGACGTAGGAGGTGGCGGAGATGATGGCGTAGAAGTCGGAGGTGGCGGAGATGATGGGGTAGAAGTAGGAGGTGGTGGAGGAGTGGTAGTGGAAGGAGGGGGAGTAGGAACAACTAGAGGTGGAGGTGGTGGTGAAGGATAAGTCTTTGGAGGCGGAGGAGGTGAATGATAGTAAGCCTTTGGAGGGGGAGGAGGTGAGTGATGGTAAGCCTTTGGAGGGGGAGGAGGTGAGTGATGGTAAGCCTTTGGAGGAGGAGGTGAGTGATGGTAAGCTTTTGGAGGAGGAGGTGAGTGATGGTAAGCCTTTGGAGGAGGAGGATGTGAGGGATGGAAAGCCTTTGGAGGAGGAGGTGAACGATAGTAAGCCTTTGGAGGCGGAGGAGGTGAACGCTGATAAGCCTTTGGAGGAGGTGAACGATAGTAAGCCTTTGGAGGCGGAGGAGGAGAACGAGGATAAGCCTTTGGAGGAGGGGGCGAGCGTCTGTGCTTTGGTGGCGGTGGAGGAGGAGGAGGTGGTGGTGGTGATCGTGGAGGTGGTGGCCGCGGTGCTTGGCAAACAGGTTTGCATGTCTTACAATCCACAAAACAAGTGCTGGGGCATGCTGCGGGGCAATAGAGATCTATGTGGTAACACTTATAGAATTTTGTGTCTTCGCACCACACTTTCTTAGTCTTTGGACGAAAAGCTGTTGCCTCTGCCCCAACAAGCATCGAGAGGATGACCAAAAACACACCTAAGCCTAAGCGCACCATAGCTTGAGCCATTCTGGTGCCAAAGGATTAATTGTGCTCTTGAAACTTTGTATCTGTGACCATATTGATTCTGGCCTCTCCTTTTATAGAGGTCTCGAAATAGATATCTCTTTTGCATCAAATGTATGTAGCATGCAACATGCTTACATTACACGTAAAGTGTTCTTTATTATTCCATTCCACTTCTGCCTCATCAAATGGAAGTCAAAGTATAATTAAAGTCATCAGATCGATATTTCTCCATATGCCTCACGTTGCTTACTATTAAAAACTGTTGAAGCTGCTTATTTCATCCTAATTGATATGATAGATCTTGTTGAGAGTATAAATTCATAAATTCATATGAGGAGTGATCTAGCAGATACTTATAAGGAATTGAGCTATTCCTTATATCTCTCAATTGGTTTTACGGTGGAATCTCAACTTATTACATGGTAACAGAGTCATGTTGGCCCATGTGTGAATTCCAACAGCTACACATGTTCCACTCATCCGATTTGGGCTGTTTACTTGTTAAGCTTGAAATTCACCATATGTGAGAAGGCGTGTGCTGAGAGTAAAAATCTCACATTGAAGAGACAAATGAAACTACTCTTCATATCGTCAAGTAATTTTTTGGTGAAATCTTAACTTCAAATCCTACCTTTATAATTTTCAATTTAAATTATCTAAATCTTGTATTTCATACACCCCAATTGATATCATCATCATTTTTTTTAAGAAAATGAAATTGGAGAATGCAATGGTCCAATTATTCTTATTTTTTTAAAACTGAATTTTGGTTTATAGTTTAAGGTAACAAGTTGTTTGGGATTTTGCACTATCGGCTTATGTGTTTGATGTCGTTGGATGGTTGTTAAGATATTAATAGAACTTTTAGTTATTGTTGATAGATAATATTGTGATTTTCCATCATGATAATTATCTATTAAGAGTTTATTGGAATTATCTTGATGTGCAAGATATATGGGCAAAAACCAATCTGGAAGCATCAAATGGTATAAATTTTTTGCTGGAATATCACAATGAAGATGAATTGGTCACGAAAAATGACTAATTTTATAGTCCTAGTTTAGGTCAAAGACGCCGAGCCTTTTAAGGGTGGAGTTTCGGTGAGAAAATTATTGACGGAGATAATTCCAAGTTTTTAGATAATATGTTGAGGAATTGCAGTCTTGGTAGGATTTAACTTACTCGGCATCCGCGCCACGTAGGTTTTGTTATTTTTGTGGTGAACATTTTGGCATGCCCCGTGGGTCTCAAGTGTTAAAATTGCAAAGTCCAATGATGTTTCAATATTCCGATTTGGCTCAGTTCAACCGATTAGACGACATCCAAGCTCAACTGAAGAAACACATTTAAAAGAGCAAGAGAAGTGGAGAAGATTCTTGATGCACATGAAAAAAAAAAAATGAGATTCCCTCTCCCAAATGTTAAGGTGAAAGCTCATGTCACCTTACAAGAACTATGGGTAAACGAAGACATGACCTGTTTTAGTGCTTGGCTAGATGAGGAACACTTTTCTATCATTTTAGATACAAGTCTATCCCATTTTAAGTATGGCTAGATCAAAAGGCCGGGGGATGAATCCTCACTTCGGCCTTGATCAAGCCTCGGTCTAAGAAGATTGTCAATTTGGCCGAAGAAGAAGTTAGGCCACCTATTCATTCGGTTGAGTCAGAAAATTTGGTCGGCCTAGAAGAAAAAGTTCAAGGTCTTGAGCAAAACATAAAAATAAGCTCAGAAGTTAATTTGTTAGATGAATGTTGTTGATGCACAAAATCAGCGAGGACTTTGGTACAACAGAAAGTGTTAGGTTTGTGACCTTCGCTTGGTTGCTTCGATCACTAGTGAAGATAAGTATGTAAATGAATAGGGACAGGGAAGCAAGCACAAGATGTACGTGGTTCACCCACATTGGCTACGTCCACGGAGTAGAGGAGTTCTCATTGATTGTGAAGGGTTTACACAAATACAAAGGTTCAAGCTCTCATTTTGTGAGTTCTAGTAAATAGTTTAGTACAAAATGACATTAGAGATTATTGTGGGAGAATGATCCCTATTTATAGAAGAGAGTTTCTAGTTTTGTTCTGACATTGACACGTGTCGTGTTGTGATTGGCATCTGATGTTGACACGTGTCGCGCTATGATTGGCTTCTGATGTCGACACGTGTCGCATTGTGATTGGCCTCCTGGTTGAAGGGAAGCTCTTCTGGGTCCTTGACGGTATAACGTTGACCGGTGCTCAGTAGTTTCGGGATTGGTCAAGTATGGTACAAACAAATGTTCCAATGCCAAACAAGGCAAAAACACTGCTTTGGCCACAAAAGCATGTCAATAAATATGGTTATTGGAGATAAAGCTAATATGGAGCAATCTCATTCGGTGAAGTTGTTCAAGTTAAAAGCCAACATTAGCGAAGTGATTATGCTCGGGGTCATAATAACTCATCGCATTTGGTTGTAGAGAGTAAAAAAACATATTTGGAGGAGTCAAGAATATTTGGAGATGATCCTTTACTAAAGCAAAATCAAATTGAAGGCGTTGATATAAAAAATATCGGCTTAAAGCATCGTTGGCTTCCTCCTTATCATAGTTTGACCACTTTTATTTTCATTTGCTTGGAAAATAATAATAATTACTTTTATTTTCTTAACCATTTGGCTGTTTAAGCTAATGCTTACGATAATAAGGGGGCAACAAGCCGCTGTATGCAAAAAGAATATATATATATATATATATTCTGCCATTTAGGCCTGACTTACCGCGCATAGTGTGAGAATATTTTCGGTCTTACACTTTTCGACCGAGACAACTTGCCAGATTCTTCTCGCGGTGGATAATATCAGTTGGAATTTAGAATGATTTGGTTAATGGCTTGGCTGATAGTAGCTTGACCGAGAGGAAAATAAAATTTTCAGTACAAAACGAGTATACATGGTCGTATCCATTTTGGTAACTAGCAAGAGGGAGGATTAATTTCCTTAACCATTCAGCTTGCAGGTCGAAACTCAAGGAAACTAGGGGGCAATCTTTGGTCCGGATTTAGTACTATCGGCTTATGCATTTTAGGCTGTTGGATGATTCTTAAGATATTAAGATAACTTTCAATTATTGTTGACAAATATTATTGTGGTTCTTAATCATGATATTATCTATTAAGAGTTCATAGGAATAACCTTGACCTTTTTCTGTGCAAGATATATGAGATAAGAACCAATATTGAAGCACCAAATGGTATAACGTTTTCGTTGGAACATCACAATGAAGATGTATTGATCACGAAAAAGGACTAAATTCAAAGTCCTAGTTTAGGTCGAAGACGCCGAGGTTTGGTAAGGATACAGTTTTGGCGGGAAAATTATTGACAGAGATAATTCCAAGTGTTTTTAAGATAATATGTTGAGGAATTGCAGTCTTAGTAGGATTTTTACACTTGACATGCTTGAGCATCAAGTAAATTATCCCTATAAATACAAGAGGGTTTGCAAAGTAGAGAGGACCTTCAACTCAATACACAAATCAACTCTCTACGCAAATCCTCTCACACCCTTGAAAATCTAACTGCTCCACTAACAAGGCAGAACAAACTAAGTTTGGTTAAACAAGTGTGGATTGGCAGCCGACATACGATTACAGTTTGGTTAAATAGAATTTTCCAAAGGCAATCAGCAAAGGTGATGGTTTGGTTAAACATAACTGGAGTTGTAGAATCAGCTCGGTTGAAGAGTCTTGATAGTTTGGTTAAACAACATGTTCTTGTTTTTTTTCGGTTGGTTATCTATCCTAAGTCTCAATTGGTGGACAATCTTGATTCTTTCTCCAAATGAGGTCACTTTAGCATGTTCAGTGAAGTAGAGTGTCCTATGATTGGATATTCCCAAGTGACATTTGGATTTCGGCATATATCGACGCTCGAACCACTTTTACCATAAAGGCGCTCATCTCCTTCGAGTATCTTTGTCCCTACAATCTTATTCCAGTTCGAAGCACTTATATTTTCACAAATATAGTGGAAGCGGCCAAACCTAGTGCATAAGATTGAATTTCATAGTAAAAGGCGTAACATTGTCTTCAGTTTTAGAACCTAAGTCCAAAAACTAGGCCGTAATCGCTCATTCTAGGAGTTAACATTGCATTCCATCACATCACCACATTCAGTAGTATTCGAACGGCCAAGGTTGGTTGTGAATCAGCACACTCGCATCAACAATCAACCACGAAGGACGTATAGTAAGCTCATTAAGTTATTCAGCCTACGCGCCACATAGGTTTTGTAATTTTTAGGTTCAACACAATTCAAAGGTAAATTTATTAGTTTTCACCTGGTTTGGCTTTCCAACTTTCATTTAAAGGTTAAGATCATGTATATGTGACTTACACGAAGTTTCGAGTTCGATTCCCTCCCTACAGTATTACTTCTATAAAAAAAAAACTATATGAATGGTTCTTAATTGAGAATGAAAATGTATATTTCGTCCAATACCCAAATTGAAATTGCTTGTGTGTTTTTGATAATAAAATTATGAAACTGCAAAGGTGCCCGCCCTTGTTTTGTATGTAAATGCTACGGAGACTCTCCCCCAATGCTACCAATTTTCTTTTAGTTTATGGTTTCGAGATAGATTGACTGCCAACAAGTTGTAGAAGTCAATCACGTAAAGGTTGTAATTAAAGGTAGTACTGCGTTGGAAGAATTGAGCTTCTTTTTGTCTTGTGAAGTTTCTTCTTCTGGACATAACACATTAACACCTTACCAACCAACTTGCATGGTTTCTTTTTATCTTACGAGTTCTGATACTATATAGCTTGACTTTGATGCATTTTATTTTTGTATTTTTTGAGTTGAAATTTAATACATTTTCTTTGCTTGAGTTGTTAGCATTCGGTTCTGTACATAAGTTTGTTTTATTTTATTTGTTGAGAAAATGACGAAATAAGACCTTTATAAGATTGTAGCTAGGTCCTCTTTATCCCAATTTTTGTGAATAGTTCGGTACTGCTAAGTGGTCCAGAAAATAAACGATGAACATTGGCTTCAAGATTAACTCTAAGAAATCAAACTGTAATTGTTTAAAAACCGGACTACTTAGTAGACTGAATTCATTGTGGGTTCTATGATCTATTTGCGTTGTTCCAAGAGGTGTAAGTTCCCCCAACGAGAAATATGTATGAGATGGGAAAATGGCTCGTTGAAACGAACAAAAAAAATGGATGAATTGCTCAAAAAACATGCATATGAGTACTTGCTAGGTGTCGATGTAATTAAAATCTTTGTAATCTGTAAACCATGTTCCTCTGAGCATGCATATTGCTCACGCATATGAAATATAGCATTCACTCACGTCAACAATAACTACACCTCGCTATTCTAGCATTCTCCGTTCATCTGCATCTGCATGTAGAAATACAACAACAACAACAACAAAGCCTTACCTCACTAAATGGAGGGGTCGGCTATGTAGAAATGAACATACAAAATTATAAATCCATACAGACAGATACAGGAGAACTGTCAGGTAAATTACTAATTCATGACATTGGAGCGTGAAAGAGAACTATTTACATTGCCTTCGGTAATCCTTGAACGGATTGCTTCTAAGAATCTTCTCACCTGCACATGGCACGTGTACAGTTCAAACCTCAAAGGTAGAGTTTTATATACACTGCTATCACATGGAAATATACAAGTACGTCTGCACAAAGTAGTATAAACTACTGGCCTGTATAAAGTATAAAAATAGAAACTATATACATATACGAATGTACAAGGGACATCATCTTTAGCCAAATTATGAATCTGGACTATTGATCAAGTCGATTCTTGCTTGAATGTGTGGTCTCAAATCGCAGTCCAGTGCAACAAAAAAATTCCGAAACTTATACGTCAAGAAAAATCGAAAATCCAAGGACAAATGTTTTTCTCTTCACAATATTTCAACAAAGCCAATGAATCTGTAGACAACGAAATTTCGGTAAATAAATCTTCACCAACGCATTAAAGTTTTGACGTGTCACGGCATACATGGGATGCGCCACATGTCACGCAACTGTACACATGACATGTGACTCAACAAATTGGAAGAAATAACCTTGGAGGATTAAACAAATTTTTCTTCTCATTTTTGGGCAATGACAAGGCAAGCACACTTCAATCCATTATGGATGAAAACAAGTTTTTCTTCTCATTTTGGGCAATGACAAGGTAAGCACATTTCAATCCATTACGGATCAAAACAAGTTTTTCTTATTTGGGCAATGACAAAGCAAGCACACTTCAAGTTTAAATTGTATCAAGTGGGAAAATTAGGCCATAAGTTAGATCACTTCAAGTTTAAAATGGTATTAAGTGGGAATTTAGGCCATATGTTAGACCACTTCAATTTCAATATTGCATTAAGTGGGAAAATTAGGTAATGTTGCTTAAGTGGGAAAATTTTGTGGTGGTAATTCATTCTCAAAGCCTATAAATAGGCTTCTCCATCAAAGTATCAATCATCCTAAAATTCACAAATACATTTCTCTACTCCCAAATTATAAGAGAATTCCCCAAAACCTTGAAGCTTTGAAACTCTAAAGCTCTCAAGCAAATCCCGAAGGATCAAGAAAGCCCTCTTCATTCTTCGTCAATTCCTCCTTCAAGATCAAGCCCCAACGGCCCTTGAAGAACTTCCACCAATTCAAGATCAAGCCTCGACAGCCCTTGAAGAAAGTGTTCATCATTCATCATCCGTTCATCCTAAGATCAAGCCCCAACGGCCCTTTGGATCAACAACATCAACAAATCTGCACAATCATTCTTCAAGATCAAGCCCAAAAGCCCTTGAAGATCTATTCATCCGTCAACCTTCAAGATCAAGCCCAAAAGCCCTTAAAGACAACCGTTCTTCAAGATCAAACCCAAAAGCCCTTGAATAAACTTACAACCATTCATCCAAGATCAAGCCTCGACATCCCTTGGATCAACCTCACATCCACAAATCAACACCTTACGGAGATCGAATTAGATGATCAAGTTATAAAGAGATTGTAACCCAAAATCATTAACACCAAAATCTTTCTTTGTACACGTTGTTCTTGTTTCAGGAATTTTCGTGTTAATCCCACCGGGCAAGCCAAATTTGTGAACACGAAAATTCCTGAAACAAGAACAACGTGTACAAAAAAAGATTTTGGTGTTAATGATTTTGGGTTACAATCTCTTTATAACTTGATCCTCTGATTCGATCTCCGTAAGGTGTTGATTTGTGGATGTGAGGTTGATCCAAAGGGCCGTTGGGGCTTGATCTTAGGATGAATGGATGATGAACGATGAACACTTTCTTCAAGGGCAATCAAGGCTTGATCTTGAATTGGTGGAAGTTCTTCAATGGCCGTTGGGGCTTGATCTTGAGGGAGGATTTGACGAAGAACGAAGAGGGCTTTCTTGATCCTTCGGGATTTGCTTGAGAGCTTTAGAGTTTCAAAGCTTCAAGGTTTTGGGGAATTCTCTTCTAATTTGGGAGTAAAGAAATGTATTTGTGAATTTTAGGATGATTGATACCTTGATGGAGAAGCCTATTTATAGGCTTTGAGAATGAATTACCACCACAAAATTTTCCCACTTATGCACCATTACCTAATTTTCTCACTTAAGCACCATTACCTAATTTTCCCACTTAATGCAATATTGAAATTGAAGTGGTCTAACATATGGCCTAATTTCTCACTTAATACCATTTTAAACTTGAAGTGGTCTAACTTATGGCCTAATTTTCCCACTTGATACAATTTAAACTTGAAGTGTGCTTGTTTTGTCATTGCCCAAATGAGAAAAACTTGTTTTGATCCGTAATGGATTGAAATGTGCTTACCTTGTCATTGCCCAAAATGAGAAGAAAAACTTGTTTTCATCCATAATGGATTGAAGTGTGCTTGCCTTGTCATTGCCCAAAAATGAGAAGAAAAACTTGTTTAATCCTCCAAGGGTATTTCTTCCAATTTGTTGAGTCACATGCCATGTGTACAATTGTGTGACATGTGGCGCATCCCATGTATGCCGTGACACGTCAAAACTTTAATGCATTGGTGAAGATTTATTTACCGAAATTTCGTTGTCTATAGAATCAATAGTCTTATGAGTTTGCCAACTAGCTATTAGTCTACTAATACCTCTCTTTTTTATATTGGAAGAAGTTTCGAGTTCAAATCCTCCCTCTCATCGGTTAAAAAGTCAAAACAAGTTCATAACTAAAACTTAGGGTGCCTATTACTGGGTTTGGTGAGTTTCAATGTACGTTGAAAAAATTAAGACCGACTTCCAATTTTTATGTAAGTTGAGGTTGACGAGTTAATCACGAAGGAAATTTGTCCTTTCTAGTCTCGCAAAAATTGTAGGATATGAACACCTTATAACTAAATATCTAATTCAAGCAAACATTTATTTCTTACTCCAACATCCTAATTTCTTGTTCTCTAAGGTACAGAAATTTCATCGTCTTTGGCATGCTTTCCATCCTCATGTTTTGTAGAGATGATATTCTGCAAACAGGGATGGGCATTGGGTACGCCCAATGCCGATCCCTACTTGAAACTGATCTATATACATTACGAGCTTACACGGATTTGCATAAAAATCTATAAACCAGAAGGGCATAAAACGCTGAATATAACTGCCGGCACCTTCTCCTTTTTGGGCGAGGCAAATCATTGCACACCTTTCACCCTTTTCCAGTTTCGACCTTCATCCAGCTGAAACCCTAGTGAACATCCAGGGGGCACAATCCAGAAAACATACAGCAATGAAGATACAAAGCAAATGAATCCTGAATCGAATGAAACTGGTCGAAACAACTACATAAGTGGAAAAAACAATTAGCAAAAGATCCGAACTTCATGACATTTGCAACAGCCACATGCATGCTCAGACAAGTCTGCTTTAAATCTGATTTCGTATAACAGAAAATTTACAAGATCATCCAATCACAGAGGAAGCAATCTTACACTTGTTTCAAAACTAACTACAAAGGAATCGAGTAACATATGCGTTAAACAACAACGACACCTACAAATTTAACGCTAAGAACTTAAGCAAAGAAGTAAACATGCAGAATCAAACCTAAATAAATCAGGAACACAAGGTATAGTCAAGGGCATCCCGTGTTCTTCATACAGCAACCAAACAGGTCGTGCCCATGTTTCTCGGTTTGTAAAAAAAAAAGCCAGGTTGTAAGTGAGAAAGTGCAATTGATAATTTTAATGTTAGCTTTGTGTGTACCTTTTGCTTCAGTAATCGTTTGGCAGTTTCAATCCGAACCACGCAAAATTGGAAAAGAAAGAGTACAAAAACCCAGTATAAATTCTTTTGTACACTGCAACAAAATGCAGTAAAAGAATCAACTATTTTCTGGACACGTCTTATTATGCCGTCCAACCATTCCACACTGACCACATGTAATGGCCCTTGGACCTTCACCAGAAGTTTTGATCTTTTTAGTCTTCGGTCTACCCTTCCCATTACCCGGAGGTAGGATAACAACATCTTCGGAACCCCCATACACCGCATCCTTAATGTCAGTTACGGGACATATAGGACTTGCATATGAACTTCTATAGTGGCACCTTGAAGTAATCATCAATGTAGTCATACACACAACCAGAACTTTGTTGAATGACAACAAGTGCGTGAGCACACGGAAATCCTTTTAGTTGCCACTCATGACAGGAGCAAAAATGATTATCCAAATCAACCACAACAGGAAACATCAGCATGAACCTCAAAAACAGAATCACTAGAACTGCTAACATTCCAATGCCGACCAACCATCGACATGTCTTCCAAGGTTTTCTCCATTTCAGGACAGAGAATAGAGCGCCATTGTTCTGCTTCACGACTCTTTTCAGACATCATTACCATGTGTTTAATCCTGATTCCTTCAAGCTTTTGACAGATGGGCATCATATAAAGCTTCGAAATCCAAGAATGAAATGATTCATAAATATTCTTATGTATTTCGCCATACCGATTGCCCTTAAAATAAGCATATGACCAATTTTCTTCAAGAAAAGTTTCTAAAAAAGTCTTAGCATGAGCACCACCTTTGTCCTTTAAATTTCTTATGCTTTGCTCAAAAGCAGCTTCCGTTGGAGCATAAGCGCATTTCATAAAAAGATCACAAATTCCATCCTGGAAAAATTTACCATAGCCAGAGTGATATTTAGATACAAGGTTCTTTTTCAAATTCTTCAAACAAAATGCAAGATGGAATGTTGGGAATCTGTTTGAAATAGCTTCAATCACATCTTTGTTGTGATCAATTACATTGTTATGATCAATTACAAATGTAATGGTCCTACCTTGCGGAGTCAAAACTTTAGCTAAATTTTCAAAGAACCATCTCCAGTTTTCCTCGTTCTCTTTGTCCACGATAGCAAAAGCAAAGGGGAAAGATCCTACATAAAAAAAAAAAGACAACATATGAGTAATTGGTATTTCAAAGATAAGGATGTCTACACATAGACATATGCTTACATGTATATACATAAACACGTGTAACTCATCGACAGTCATAATACATATTACATACAAATTATACCTTGGTTTCCATTCTTTCCCGTCGCACCAATTAGCTGCCCCTTGTACTTGCTTTTCAGATTAGTTTCATCTATGAACAACAAAGGCCTGCACCACCGAAAGCCCTCAATGCAGGCACCATAACAAACAAAAAGCCTCCAAAAGCGCAAAGTGTTTGGATCACACTCTACAACACAGTATGACCCAGAATTGGTTGATATTAAAGCATCACGATACCAAGCTAATTGACTATAAGACAATGATTCATCACCATGAACCTCAATCTTAGCCATTTGTTTCGCTTGCCATGCATTATAGTAAGAAATATCAAGGCCATAGTTCTGCTTAACATCCTTGACGATATCTATAGGTTTAATTGACGATTTCTCACGGATTTGATCGACTAAAAGAGAAGATATCATCTTTGAAGTTATCATCGCACTATTCTGCTCATGGATAACGCTCGTGCACAAGTGCACATTATTTAAAGTCTTTATGTAGAAAAAACTGTTAGCTCGACATACTGAAGCACAAACATGCCACTTACATCCATCTGAACTCTTCTTAGAACATTCAGCAATAACACGCGCCTTATTATTGCTTAGATAAACAAAACTAAATCCCATCCCAACTACATATTTACGCAACTTGCTACGAAATTCGTCTACACCACCCATAAACTTCTGGCCTTCATGACTAATATACTCTTTCCAGCCCTGAGACAACCCGAAGTTATCCAAATGTTCATTCTCGTCAATAACACAAATTTCTACCATACATGAAGAAGACACTACATGATTAGTAGCTGCATGATTAGAAGCTTCGTGATTAGACCCTGCTTGATTAGATGCCGTATGATCACCATCTTCATTATTCGAAATCACAACATCCTTCACCAGTAAATCAACAAAACTAATCTTCAACATCGAGAAACACATTAGCATCAAAGTGACATCCATATCTGATTGCAGCAAACAAGTAGGATGCTCGGGAAGAGAATATGTCAGCTTAAAACTCCCTGCCTTCAGGTCCTTAAACCTTGAACATATCTCTTTATAAACATCTCCATATTTAGTATGTTCAGCCAACGCAATCAGGACAGTTACAGCACGATAACTACACCTTTCTATTCTAGCACCCTCCATCTGTACATGTAAGACACGATAAAACACGAAATGAATCAAGAGCTACCATTCTAACATCAAAATTACGATAAACATGTGACATATCCTAGCATTTGCATATTGAGAATCCACAGATCATAGAGGTAGCCTGTGTTTTTATATCGAACGCACATTGTAACATAAGCTCAAGGTATAGTTGGGGGCTTCAAATTTCTTTTCCTTGTACCTTCAATGAGCGGTTTCGCTATTGTAATTTTTCTCTCCATTTGATCAATATTTGTTCCGCTTTGATCTTTTATAAGACAAAGGAATAACAGAGTAGAACAAGTAACATAATTTTGTATTTATGACATTCATCACTAGGCCTGGCAATTCCTGACACGACCCGATAACCCGACACGACACGACACGAAATTAACAGGTGTTCGAGTCGACACGATAACGAAACGGGTCATTATCGGGTAACCCGATAAGCACCTGTTAAGATAACGGGTTTGTTCGGGTATACACGTGGGTAACACGATACACGATAAGCAGAATATTAATTTAATAATTTATAACCCTAAAAAAAAACTATAATAATTATATATATATATTAATTTAACAATTTTATACCCCTAAAAACTATAATAATTATATATATATATATATATTAAATTAACTATAATAATTATAATAATTATATATACTATAATAATTATAACCAAAATATTAACTATAATAATTATATATATATATATATATTAAATTTTATACCCCTAAAAACTATAATAATTTTACATACAAAACAAATAGATTTAAACCTACTTAATAAATAAATATATATATATATACACACACACACCATTGAACTTCATGGGATACGAATTATACGAAACTAATTTCAACGATCCAACCGTCAAACATGTTTGTATATACTTCGAGATCGCAAACGCCAAAAATTGTAAAAAACAAACATTCAGAGAGCAAGTAACGGGACAAAACTTTTTGACGGTTATAAACAAAAAATCACGATTTAACGGTCATTTTAACTCCGATTTTGAAGATTTTTTACAACCACACTCCTTGACCCTATATGAATACAATGATTGAATTCGATCTTCAATTTAAAATATTTACACTAGTGGATACCACAAAATCTTATGTTATAATTAATAAAAGTATGAATAAACTCTTAAGTATTAGTGAATCTATTGTTTTGATGGGATACTCATTCTACAAAACTAGTTTCAATGATCCAACCGTCAAACATGTTTGTATATACTTCGAGATCGCATACGCCAAAAATTGCAAAAAACAAACATTCAGAGATCAAGTAATGGGACAAAAGTTTTCGACGGTTATAAACGAAAAATCACGATTTAACGGTTATTTTAACTCCGATTTTGATGATTTTTTACAACTACACTCCTTAACCCTATATGAATACAAGTAATGAATTCGATCTTCAATTTAAAATATTTACACTAGTGGATACCATAAAATCTTATGTTATACTTAATAAAAGTATGAATAAACTATTAAGTATTAGTGAATCTATTGTTTTGATGGGATACTCATTCTACGAAACTAGTTTCAAAGATCCAACCATCAAACATGTTTGTATATACTTCGAGATCGCATACGTCAAAAATTACAAAAAACAAAGATTCAGAGATCAATTAACGGGACAAAACTTTTTGACGGTTATAAAAAGAAAAATCACGATTTAACGGTCATTTTAACTCTGATTTTGATGATTTTTTGCAGCTACACTCGTTGACCTTATATGAATACAATGATTGAATTCGATCTTCAATTTAAAATATTTACACTAGTGGATACCACAAAATCTTATATTATACTTAATAAAAGTATGAATAAACTATTAAGTATTAGTGAATCTATTGTTTTGAAGGGATACTCATTCTACGAAACTAGTTTCAATGATCCAACCGTCAAACATGTTTATATATACTTCGAGATCGCATACGCCAAAAATTACAAAAAACAAACATTCAGAGATCAAGTAACGGGACAAAACTTTGCGACGGTTATAAACGAAAAATCACGATTTAACGGTCATTTTAACTCCGATTTTGATGATTTTTTACAACTACACTCCTTGACCCTAAATGAATACAATGATTGAATTCGATCTTCAATTTAAAATATTTACACTAGTGGATACCACAAAATCTTATGTTATACTTAATAAAAGTATGAATAAACTCTTAAGTATTAGTGAATCTATTGTTTTGATGGGATACTCATTCTACGAAACTAGTTTCAAAGATCCAACCGTCAAACATGTTTGTATATACTTCGAGATCGCATACGTCAAAAATTACAAAAAACAAAGATTCAGAGATCAATTAACGGGACAAAACTTTTCGACGGTTATAAAAAGAAAAATCACGATTTAACGGTCATTTTAACTCTGATTTTGATGATTTTTTGCAGCTACACTCGTTGACCTTATATGAATACAATGATTGAATTCGATCTTCAATTTAAAATATTTACACTAGTGGATACCACAAAATCTTATATTATACTTAATAAAAGTATGAATAAGCTATTAAGTATTAGTGAATCTATTGTTTTGATGGGATACTCATTCTACGAAACTAGTTTCAATGATCCAACCGTCAAACATGTTTATATATACTTCGAGATCGCATACGCCAAAAATTACAAAAAACAAACATTCAGAGATCAAGTAACGGGACAAAACTTTTCGACGGTTATAAACGAAAAATCACGATTTAACGGTCATTTTAACTCCGATTTTGATGATTTTTTACAACTACACTCCTTGACCCTAAATGAATACAATGATTGAATTCGATCTTCAATTTAAAATATTTACACTAGTGGATACCACAAAATCTTATGTTATACTTAATAAAAGTATGAATAAACTCTTAAGTATTAGTGAATCTATTGTTTTGATGGGATACTCATTCTACGAAACTAGTTTCAATGATCCAACCGTCAAACATGTTTTTATATATTTCGAGATCGCATACACCAAAAATTGCAAAAAACAAACATTCAGAGAGCAAGTAACGAGACAAAACATTTCGACGGTTATAAACGAAAAATCACGATTTAACGGTTAATTTAACTCCGATTTTGATGATGATTTTTTACAACTACACTCCTTGACCTTATATGAATACAATGATTGAATTTGATCTTCAATTTAAAATATTTATACTAGTGGATACCACAAAATCTTATGTTATACTTAATAAAAGTATGAATAAACTTTTAAGTATTAGTGAATCTATTGTTTTAATGGGATACTCATTCTACGAAACTAGTTTCAATGATCCAACCGTCAAACATGTTTGTATATATTTCGAGATCGCATACGCCAAAAATTGCAAAAACAAAACATTCAGAGAGCAAGTAACGGGACAAAACTTTTCGACGGTTATAAACGAAAAATCACGATTTAACGGTTAATTTAACTCCGATTTTGATGATTTTTTGCAACTACACTTCTTGACCTTATATGAATACAATGATTGAATTCGATCTTCAATTTAATATATTTACACTAGTGGATACCACAAAATGTTATGTTATACTTAATAAAAGTATGAATAAACTATTAAGTATTAGTGAATCTATTGTTTTGATGGGATACTCATTCTACGAAACTAGTTTCAAAGATCCAACCGTCAAACATGTTTGTATATACTTCGAGATCGCATACGTCAAAAATTACAAAAAACAAACATTCAGATATCAATTAATGGGACAAAACGTTTCGACGGTTATAAAAAGAAAAATCACGATTTAACGGTCATTTTAACTCTGATTTTGATGATTTTTTGCAGCTACACTCCTTGACCTTATATGAATACAATGATTGAATTCGATCTTCAATTTAAAATATTTACACTAGTGGAAACCACAAAATCTTATATTATACTTAATAAAAGTATGAATAAACTATTACGTATTAGTGAATCTATTGTTTTGATGGGATACTCATTCTACGAAACTAGTTTCAAAGATCCAACCGTCAAACATGTTTGTATATACTTCAAGATCGCATACGTCAAAAATTACAAAAAACAAACATTCAGAGATCAAGTAACGGGACAAAACGTTTCGACGGTTATAAACGAAAAATCACGATTTAACGGTCATTTTAACTCCGATTTTGATGTTTTTTTACAACCACACTCCTTGACCCTATATGAATACAATGATTGAATTTGATCTTCAATTTAAAATATTTACACTAGTGGATACCACAAAATCTTATACTATACTTAATAAAAGTATGAATAAACTATTAAATATTAGTGAATCTATTGTTTTGATGGGATACTCATTCTACGAAACTAGTTTCAATGATCCAACTGTCAAACATGTTTATATATACTTCGAGATTGCATACGCCAAAAATTGCAAAAAACAAACATTCAGAGATCAAGTAACGGGACAAAACTTTTCGACGGTTATAAACGAAAAATCACGATTTAACGGTCATTTTAACTCCGATTTTTGATGATTTTTTACAACTACACTCCTTGACCCTATATGAATACAATGATTTAATTCGATCTTCAATTTAAAATATTTACACTAGTGGAAACCACAAAATCTTATGTTATACTTAATAAAAGTATGAATAAACTCTTAAGTATTAGTGAATCTATTGTTTTGATGGGATACTCATTCTACGAAACTAGTTTCAATGATCCAACCGTCAAACATGTTTGTATATATTTCGAGATCGCATACGCCAAAAATTGCAAAAAACAAACATTCAGAAATCACGTAACGGGACAAAACTTTTCGACGGTTATAAACGAAAAATCACGATTTAACGGTTAATTTAACTCCGATTTTGATGATTTTTTGCAACTACACTTCTTGACCTTATATGAATACAATGATTGAATTCGATCTTCAATTTAATATATTTACACTAGTGGATACCACAAAATCTTATGTTATACTTAATAAAAGTATGAATAAACTATTAAGTATTAGTGAATCTATTGTTTTGATGGGAT